CCCCAAAACCCCAAAACCCCAAAACCCCAAAACCCCTTATTCATAATAATTATAGAATTTTTCAAAACAATATCGATGGAAAATAGCGAGATGAACGATGATGATATTATAAGGAAAAGAGCAGCTAGGATCAGGACTCACGGGTTGAAATACCCTCTACATCCTTACCAAGTTGGGTCCTGGATCTTTTACTTTATCAATGTTGTCAGTTATTATTTCATTGTTTTGGTGTCCATTAAGCATCATACTGGTCTTGTGATCACTATATCAGCTATTTTTACGATACTAATTATCGTAGTAGCTATTTTAGTCACAATTGCAACCTTGATTGACCCAACAGATGATATTGTTAAACGAGGAAAGAAAGAACCATCAGAAAGCTTTGCATTTTATTGAAAAATATGTCAAAGTAATGTATCTGATAACTCTAAGCACTGAGGCCAGTGCAACAGGTGTGTGGCTAACTTTGATCACCACTGAAAGTGGCTGAATAACTGTGTGGGAGACGTAAACTATAAATTGTTTATTTACCTCTGAATCTCGGTTCTTTCCTTTCAGGTCTATTACTGAATCATACTGTTCTATTCAGTATTAGAATTCTTTATAAATCGTGAAGAATATGAGGCATCTTTGAGCGATCTTTACGGAAACGAAACTGGAACTCCATTCGTAGCTATTTCTATCATTATTTTCGTCTTGAACATCCTACCAATTGTGGCAATCTTGAACCTACTCTCGCTCCACATCTGGTTAAAGAAGAAAGGACTTTCAACTTATGATTACATAATCCAGAAGAGGGAGAAACTGCAGGAGGAATATAACAGGAAAATTAAAGAACTCCAGCTTCGGATCAGCAATGAAGAGCAGAAGGAAAGCAAGGATGATATCCACAGTGGCCGGTCAGATTTTCCTGTGGGAATGGCCAAGAAGGACAGCATTGGTGATCATAAGAATAAGAGCACAATCTTGCAATTTAATGATGATGCTTCAAAGGGCTCTCTTATGGTCAACAAACATAAAAGAAATGAGATAGATATTAAAGCAGACAATGAGTATTTAGGGAGTAATGAAAATAACAAGAGCTTATCTCCGGAAGTTGAACAAGAGATGGGCTTCAGGAAGACAGATTCATCCATGTGGAAGCAGAAAGATGGTACTCCCCATACTTCTGATATTTGTCTGAATGGGACATCTGATAACCAGGAGACTAAGGATGAGTGCTACCAGAGTTCAAAGAATTTACATCAGGATATCTCAAATTTTGCCCATAGAAGACAAGTTAATAAAGCTAAGATTTCGGATCTTCATATCATTGATGATGTAAGTGAATCCAAGGAGCTTTCTCAGCGAGCTTTTGAGTCATTCTCAAAGAGCAAAAATGCTAGCTCTTACACACATCTTCAAAAAGCAAAGGGTGAGAACATCAGAAATTTTAATAGTTCAATGAAGAAGCCATCTTTGGGGCGAAACGAACACAATAGCTCAGGAATTATAAAGTCATGATCTGAAAATATTTCACAGATAATGAATGCTACATTCAAGGAGGAAGATGAGAAAAATACTGAAGAGAATGCGTACGGTACTGAGAAAAGAGATGACCAAGCCTATTATTTCTCCACGACTCGTCCAAGGTAAGTATTCTGTGGAGTTTCTAAACTTTTCTTAGAAGTTCAAAACCATATGTGGAAGGAAATTCTGAGTTATCAAACCCGAAGATAAGGGTATCTAACAAGTCTGTGAGCAAGAGAATGGCCTCTAAAAAATCATCAGTGGAGCCATATGATAAATGAGCAGAAGAAATTAAAGATGAAGATCCAAAGCCATATAACTTCATTTCTCAACAGATCAAAAATGAAGCTCTGAGTAAGCATAAAAATCTGGAAAAGGGCAACCAGAATTGGCTAGTTGACAGCGAGAGTGGGAACACTCTCAGTTACAGCAAGGTTTTCGGTACTAGCTCAAGGGAATATGTTCAGATTGGAGATGTAAACAAGTTACAGACTAAGAAGCTTGATCCAAGCCAAGGTAATGGCACAACATTTTACCGTTTGGTTATTAATATCCTAGTTTAGAGATGAGAAAGAATGAGAACTATGACAAAATTATAAATTATGATAACCAGACAGAGAAGAAGTTCACTTCCTACAACTCTCCTGAGAATAACTTTAATGAGGAGGATCAGGTCTCTAATGACACAGATCATTTTAATGATGAAGAGTTAGGCGAGCATGGCCGTTTCGACTCTAGAGAGGTCAGCGAAGCTTCTCATAATGCTACGAAAAAGAACCTGTTCCTGCAAGAGAACATCATAGATCCTGAAGACCCAGGTGCATCACTTGAGGAGGTAAAAGAGTATGATGAAGAGTCAGAATCGAAGAATTGAAGTGGCAGGAAAGATAGCCATAATGCTTTAAGGTGTCAGTAGTTCTTGGTAGTTTCATTTTCATTGAATTTCTAAATACAATATATCAAGCCTGACAGGGGTTTTGGGGTTTTGGGGTTTTGGGGTTTTGGGG